CTGTAATTTTTGTTGATGATAAATTAATTCACCTTAATTAGCTGCTGCCAACTGTGAACTTGAAATACAGTATATAAATATTGTAAATTAACTACAGTATAATACTGTAGGTATCTGTCTTATACCTGTATATTACACAAGTATTTTGTGAAGATTAGGCACACCTTTAGTGATCAACCACGTGTGCATTACTTACTGTACCCTGAGGCACACCAGTCAACAGTGTTCATCGGGGATATGTTCTTCATGACCACGACTAACAGTGAATAACGGGGTCGACTTATATGTTATACTGGACGTGGAAGATGTTCTGACTACATAATATTACATATTATTTTTATAATAATATCTAATAAAACATACAACACTGTACAGTAAATCCTCAGTATAACTGACATCGCTGCCCACCTGGGAGCTGTCTTATCTTATGGTTATTTTTCAACTCACAATTTTGGTACATACAGTACAGTATACAGCTTGATACTGTAGTGCAGCGGGTTGACGTTAGTCCACGTACATGTTTGTTGTTGTTGTCACGAGCACTGCCTGGCGGCCACCTGGTGCACTACAGTACCAAACTATGTTCTATGGTGATGCCACATGGCCGATATCGTGTAATTCAATGATTATTGGTAAGTGTCGATGTTGTTAATTATCATTTATGTAATTTTTTTTTACCTTATAGTGAGGTGACATCACTAACATACACACTGTACTGTACTCTGTTTTAGTGACTGTGAAGTAATTTTTTGTGTTTTTTTTCTGACTTAAGTCTTGTCAACATGTAAGCAGTTGTGGCGGCTATCATTATTTTTATGTATTGTGACAAGTTCTTTCGTTCTGTTTTTGAGTCTGAAGTCAGCAGCGTTCTTAATGATGTGCTGAGTTGTTTAATTGTTTTATATGTTTTATGAGTGCACTTTTTTTCTTCTTTTTTCGGTGACTCATGTGGGCGTTGGAATGGCTGGGCACATATTCATTGAACCTCATGTTATAATGATCCTGATTTAAAATAGTTTACATAGCGATGGGTTTTTAGGAACATAACCTCATCGTAAATAGGGGGATTCCTGTACTTGTAATCCATAACATTGTTCCCATTCACTGTAACTTTAACTGCACTGTAATTGCACTCATGGAAGTAACATTTCTTTACTCTTTGAACATTTGGGCTTTGTTCACTACAGATGTTACTGTGGTAGGTGGGACAGATAAATGCCATACAATATCCACAAAACATTCACCAGCCTCAAACTTTGCTATGATTTTCATCATTGAAACAAAATTATCTTAGTAACTTGGCTTTGTGCTGGGCATTTAGAGGCCATAATAAAGATATAGGGGCAATTTATCACAAATAAAAGAGCTAGTACCAGCACAACCAAAACCAAGTCGGTAAATAACGCAGCACCACTGTGTTAGAATTTGTAAACAAGAATATGTCTGATTCACTAATGTGTTAAACAATTTGTTTTAATGTTTTGTGATTATTCTCTTTACCTTTTTAAGTGAAGATATTTGTAAATATGTACAGTAATCTCCCCGTTAGCTGGACTCCCCAATCCCATGAACTCTCCAATAGCCAAAATGGAAATTGGTCTGGAATTTTTTTGGAAAATTTTTCTCAATTCTGCGTTCTTCGAACCTTTCCGTTCTGGGCCTGGGAACAAATGATCTGGGACTTCCGAAAGGTTGAATCATCCTCCGCCACATTCTTCTGTGCCAGGCACATGGGTGGGTAAACCACTTGGGCCGTAAGCTCGTGCGCTGCAATTGGCTAATGGTGTCATGTGACCGTGATAGGCTGATGCATCTCCCAGCTTATCCTCTCTAAGCCTAGCATCATGACACACACACCTAGCCCTCTGCCATTGTACAAGGTTGATCGCTCACTTACTGCTGTTTTTGTGTAAATTTCTGTTGTGCAGTACTGTACATTACTGTACCAGGACACAATCAGCCAAGAATACAGTGTTAAAAATGTCAAAAGTGATTACAATAAGTTACATATTATTCAGTAAATGGGAAACACTGGAGCACCTTAACTTTTGTCTCTGCTCAAGATATCTTCGGGTCATGAGACCCACCCGAACAATGGGTGATCTGACATTACATCTGGTCAGGCCAGTAACATGACCCACTCATCTCCACCCCACCTCCATCTCAGGCGTGAGACATAAAAAGTTATTATAGTTACGCATTACATTCAGCAGAGTGGATGGTGTATGCCTAATGTTAGGCTCAAGACACAGCATCTGCTGGTGAGTATAGTATATAATGGTTGCTTCTGTGTAAGAGGATGGCCTGCCCAAGGGCCACTTAGGTGTGAATTTGTTTGAGGTGTAGAAGCTGTCGCCAACACAACAACCACAACCTGAGTTAACAAGCTGAATGACCCAGTGTTAGGAAAAGTTCAAGAAGGCCGGACAACTCGCTAACTGCACTGGCTAACCATCACCCCGGAACACGATCCGCAAATCGATTAGCATCCAGGTCCCCAATTACTGCTGGGGAGACAGAGGCAAATGGCGTAAAGAAAACTGCCCGTTGCTTCTCCCTGCCCGGGGATCGAACTCGGGTCCGCTGGCTTGTGAGGTGAGCATGCTGACCATTGCACCACCGGTCACACAGTAAAGTAGTAGGATACATTATTTACAATATATTGTATGTGTACAGTGGTTTTTGCATAAATAAATATACAGCTGTTTGCATAGTATAGACTTGGGGAAAACTTTCCTCAGTACAGAGTGGAAAATTCCAGTCTTAACTGAACCGTGAGACACGGCTCCTTTGATGCCTCTATCATATTTTTTTTTATCAATTTGTTTCTGTTAAACATTGATTTGCGATATATCCAGCTTCTACAAACTGTAGGTAATTGTCTATTGTGTTTTGTTTGGTGTTATTTGTTTGTTTACTTTCTGTTTGCTACAAAACAAAGAAATAATGGACAGGCTTCATCCGAACGCAACTTTTGTCTTTGACTTCAACCGTTCGTTATATATATTTTAAAATTTTTAACATCCTCTTTGAAGTGCTAATGCCTTGAAATCATTTGCATTTTTATGTTCGTAATTTTTAACATAATTATTGAAAAGATCATGTCTAATTATAATCTGTGAACATATTAGTATGATAAATGCAGAGTTAAACGAACACTTTTTATGGACCAATCAGCTACTTTTTAGCGTAGAAAGGAGGCGTGGCTTCTGGGCCAGCTAGTGTAAAGTGGGTTTAGTCAATCCACTATTTACCATGATGGGATGTATCAAGTGAAACACGTATATGGAGCGAGTAAAAAGATTACTAGATTTCAAGATGTTGTAACCGCTAGACTAAGGTTAGGATATAAGTACCTCTGGTAGTATGCCCTTCAGGCAGATGTAAACAAAACTAAATGTATAGTGTGTGGCCAGACACATGGCCACACACTCCAACACTACGTTTTAGACTGTGAAAAAATAGAACCTTATAGGGATAGATCCAAGCACACTGTGCATATAATGGCACAGCACTTTATCTCTGGTGATAAGATATACTAAGGTTGCATCCACACTTCGCATCTAGTACCTAATCATTATTCTATGTACCGACTTAAACAATGTACCGAAAATACTCTGTAACACTCAATACCATAATATCAAGACCACTGGGGTCTGATAAAGGTAAATTTGCATTGTCACACCGTTCACTGTTAGAAAGTAAAAAATATAGCTTTCTGGTGTTTTTTTTGTGTGTTTAGGCTGAATATGACCTTCATTTCTGGTGGAAATCAGCCGTTTTTTTTTTTATTTTTTCGTTGGACGTTTTCCGAAAAAAATCATGGCAAAATACACTAAAAAACACTAGAAAAACAAAAAACAAACCTAACCTAACCGACTCACCATATGATGGAATCACCTACCGGGTATTTCTTACCTTATTGACCTGGTTCTTGTTCGTAATTGCATTCTGTGATTCTTACACAACGCCACATATGTTGGTCTTTGCGATATTTACAATCAGTCTTGCTCTTAGCACACTTTACTGAGGTTGGAAGAACACCATGCTATCGAAAAAATGCTGTAGTTTCTACGATTATTTTTTAAAAAAACTCGCAATCAGCTCCATATACTTTAAGTGACACCCATCGCAAACTTCCATGGTCGGAACTGAACTTGAATTTCAAAATTTGAGAGACCAAAAATAAAACTCAAATTTGATTGAGCCAAATATACTCCGAATTAAACCCCAAATCATTTTAATTGGTTCCAAAAGCAAAAACATTTTTGATTGGCTGCGTGATGTGTACGGGAATGCATACGCGTGATAATTTATGAAGGAGACGCGCAGTGTTAGAGGTGAGGCAGGCGATAATGGAGGATGATTAATGAAAGAAAATAGAGAACATTTTGATATGCTGTCTCCGTTATTATACATTTCCGCCGGTATTGTAATATATGAAAATTATCTTATAATTAGACGTCTTATTCTAATATGATTAATAGATTAGTGGTAGGAATGAACGGTGTGTAAACGCAATAATACCCTGATAAACACCATTTGTGGCCTCTACTCTGTAATGCGTTTTTGTGCTACTGTTCACAGGAAGAGTATGGAGTGTACAATAAACTGACTGCTGTTTGCGGCAAAATTCAATTCCTTATTACCAAAATCCGAGCAGGGTGTTGGTGGTACAGGGGTAACACGTGTATCTCTCACCAATTTGTCAAAGGGTCGAATCCTGCTTGGCCCTGACACACATGAGAAGGATGTTATCCAGTGAGATCCTCACTACCAAACATATGGGTATCCTCCAGACACACCAGCTTACTCCTGTACTAATACTGGACAGACAAACTTCCCAAACGGTTAGTAATCTGATAAGTGGTGAAATGATAAATGACCGAACCAAAGTGAGTTATATAGACAGACAGACAGACAGACAGACAGACAGACAGACAGACAGACAGAGACAGATAGATAGATAGATAAGAAAACAATCAATTAATGATACTCACAAGCCAGAAGTGAGAGTTTCTCCATGAGGATGAGAGAAGCGTGGTAGAGAGGCACAGTGCCATCTGGGTGTGACACAGCTGGCACTACACCAATCATCCCTTCACCACTCTGGGCTAATGAGTTCATCACCTCCTGCAGACAGGTGTTGCTGATGCAGGTGCTGCATCATAGAGAACAGGTACATCAATTATTACCCTAAGTGTGTTTATAAGTCAATTATTGTATTACTGTATACTCTAAGTATGAGTCAATTATTACCCTAAGTGTGTTTATAAGTCAATTATTGTATTACTGTATACTCTAAGTATGAGTCAATTATTACCCTAAGTGTGTTTATAAGTCAATTATTGTATTACTGTATACTCTAAGCATGAGTCAATTATTACCCTAAGTGTGTTTATAAGTCAATTATTGTATTACTGTATACTCTAAGTATGAGTCAATTATTACCCTAAGTGTGTTTATAAGTCAATTATTGTATTACTGTATACTCTAAGTGTGAGTCAATTATTACCCTAAGTGTGTTTATAAGTCAATTATTGTATTACTGTATACTCTAAGCATGAGTCAATTATTACCCTAAGTGTGTTTATAAGTCAATTATTGTATTACTGTATACTCTAAGCATGAGTCAATTATTACCCTAAGTGTGTTTATAACTTAATTATTACTGTAAGTGTGTTTATAACTTAATCACCTGATGCTGTCATACATGATGGACCAACAGTTAACAGGTCATGATGGACCAACAGTTAACAGGTCATGATGGACCAACAGTTAACAGGTCATGATGGACCAACAGTTAACAGGTCATGATGGACCAACAGTTAACAGGTCATGATGGACCAACAGTTAACAGGTCATGATGGACCAACAGTTAACAGGTCATGATGGACCAACAGTTAACAGGTCATGATGGACCAACAGTTAACAGGTCATGATGGACCAACAGTTAACAGGTCATGATGGACCAACAGTTAACAGGTCATGATGGACCAACAGTTAACAGGTCATGATGGACCAACAGTTAACAGGTCATGATGGACCAACAGTTAAGGTTGTAAAGGTAAGGTAAAAGGTGTTACCCGTCACTGGAGTCGTGAGCAGCGGTGGTGGCAGCATTAAGAGCCATGTGTACCCACTCCAGCAAGTAGCGCAGGGAGCCTCTCTGAAGGCTCAACCCCAACAGCAGCTCTGCACTCAGCTTACGACCTACAATAACAATCATAACATAACATTAATGATCTACAGTCTACATGAAAGATAGATAGAGAATAATAGAAACATTTTACTTTTCATAATACTGTACTACTAATAATAATAATATTTGTAAAATTTATTTTGTATATTTGCACCAAGAATTTGAAACTAGTAAATATTGCTGCTGGCAGCTTGCCAACAGGAGCTCTGTACTGCAGTGCCTCACAGGTGATGATGGTGTATATTATCCAAGATTCACTTGTATAGATGTATAAATAATGGTGTTGGGTTAACAATATAGTAATTAGTGTGGTGAGCGTAGGAGGCCAGGGGATTATATCACCAAGTTGAGATACCTTAACTTTTTCTCATAAATTAATTCAATCCTGGTGAATTAGTTTATATAAATAAACAAAGATTACCTGTATTACAATTATATTATAACCGTTATTGTTGTGAAACAACACTCAGTGTATCGAGGTGAACTATAAACTTAATACAAGCTTGCTGGATGGCAGAGTTACCCACAACCCAACCCGCGAACCATCTATGTCCACCACAACGATCAACCTTAGATTAAAACTTAGATGATATAAGATCACATTTAACAAGTCAAAATCTAGTGACTCCATAAAGTAATACAGTAATAAGATTTTAATAAACAGGTAATTGTAAAATCAAATTAGTCATTGACAACCAGAGTAAAACCATTGTTTAACCTCATCCTAAATCCTCTGTTTAACTCATTAAATTTTATTTCCAACCTTTCTCCTCATAATTATGTCATAACTTGTCTATCTTTCATGTCTGGCTGTGCCTTGAGCCTCAGCATGCCTTCCATCCTTTCCCCCACCTTAACCTATTAAAAAAACCCAGACAGACAGAAGACAACTCGGTTTGTTTCACTTTACGTTAACTTCATCAACCTAGCTACAGCACAACACTGGCAGGACAGAACTAGAGCACATAAAGGACTCATAACCCTTCCTGTGGAAATATTAGCTAAGTATTAAGCAGTTCTCTTGTTAGAAAGGTTCATTACGGAGAGTTGGTGTTGAGTGGAGGTAAGCCTCCTATAACAAATGTAATTTTATTTAATGTCACAACTTTTTTGACAATAAATGTAACATTAACAACAATAATATAAAGGTATCTAATAAATTGTTTTCCTCAATGTTAACAAGAGAGGATGCAAACAACCTCCCTGTGTTTGAGGACAATCAGTCTGACACAGCACCGATGAACACTGAGTTCTCAGGGTGTAATGTACAGTATTGTACTGTATTAGAAACAAACTGCCAAAGCTAAAGGTTCATAAGAGCCCTGACCTTGATAGTGTGCATCCCAGAATGTTAAGAGAGATGTGCAACAAGTTTGCCAAGCCCCTTAAAATCCTCTTCTGCAGATGCATGGATGAGGAAAAGGTCCCTATATGTGCTATACATATTTAAACAAGGTGATCACCATTTCATGAATAATTATAGGCCAGTGAGCCTGACCAGAAGTGTGTAAAGTGCTAGTGAGCCTTATAAGAGATGCCATGATGGAACATCTACTATGAAACAACCTCGTAAAGGACCGCCAATACGGTTTTATGCCTGGATTCTCCTGCTTGACACAATTACTGTACAATACTTTAGGAGCTGGATGTGTGGTGGCAATACTGACAGTATATAGTACAGTACAGTAGACCCTTCCCATTTGCAGGTTTATGATTCATGATTTTGACGATTCGCAGTAAGCAGCTGGTGGCTCGGGTGGCTAGCATGAAGCCTTCTCCCTCAGCACAACGAGTCACCCCACGCGCCCACAGTGTCTCATCCCGCTCTGTTTGCCCTCACCCAGTACCCGTGACCTACCATCCAGTGTCCTACTCTCAAAACTTTCATGTTTCTTTGTGAAAATGACCCCAAAAGGACTGCCTAGTGCCAGTGCTAGTGATGCTAGTGGAGTGAAGCATAAAAGGCAAAAGTCAGTGATGACCCTGACAAAGAATACCGAATTATTAAACAAGTTAAAAGAGGGGATGAGTGCTACCGCAGTTGGTCGGTTGTTTGGTGTGAAAGAATCCACAGTGCGGTATATAAGAAAGACTGAACAAGCAATTCGTGATTCTGTTCAAGTGAGTGCTCCTGCAGGTGTTTAAGTGGTGCAGGTTGTTTGTGACAAGAACATAGTAAAAACTGAGAAAGAACTGAACATTTGGATTGAGATCCAGCACCGCAAAAATGTTGCGATCAACAGCAACGTGATTCGTGAGAAGGCTAAAAGTCTTTATGTTCATTTTTACGAGTCAACAGGTGGTGAAGGAGCTAGTGCAGTGACTGAACCAACTTTTAGTGCCAGTGGTTTGAGAATTTTAAGAAAATATTCTCACTCCATAATGTGAAGCTGACTGAGGAGGCCACATCAGCTGACCACACAGCCGCAGGTGCATTTACTGCCAAATTAAAGAAAATAATAGAAGATAAAGGCTATAGGCAAGTGTTTAATGTTGATGAATCTGGTTTATATTGGAAGAAAATGCCTGGTAGAACATACATAAACAAGCAGGAGAGGCATGCATCTAGGTTCAAGACAGCCAAGGACAGAGTGACGCTCATCTTCTGTAGAAATGCAGCTGGCCACATGATCCAGCCTGGCTTGGAACGCAGCCTTAAGATGGTCCCAGGAATCAACCAGGTATTGTTTTCCTATCAGGAAATGTTTAAAGAACTCAAAGCCAAGAGGAAACAACTACCAATCACCACGTTTTTCAAGAAAGAACCCTTCTCCTCTTCCTCCCAGCCACGCGCCACCTCCAGGTCACGCGCCACTCCACCACCCGCCTCTCCACCAACCACCACTGATTCACCCTCTTCCACCAGTGATCCTCATGATCCACCTATACTTCAGTAGCCAGATGTCTCCCTATGTACAGTGCACCACTTCATCAAGCTCCAGACTTCCACATACGAATGTAAGTATTGTACAGTATTGTGACTTAAGTTTCTCATACACAGTACAGCTACTCCTTGAATTACGACCTACTCGACTTACGACCTCCCGGGCATACGACTGCACCAGTCGTACCAAAGTTTTTTCAAATTATGTATTTTCGAGTCCCGATGTTAGTGATTGCACTGTGTACTGACAAAATGTTCGTTTGTAATTCCCTTTAAAATGGCTGGCAAGCTTAAAAGTGAGAGTTTTGTGGTGATGAGAAGAAAAAGAGACACCCATTTTAGATTTTCTATGTACAGGTATCATCTTAGCATTTTCGACTTACGACCAATTCGACTTACAACCTGGATTTGGGTCCCTAACCCCGTCGTAAGTTGAGGAGTGGCTGTACAGGTATACCTGTATATTAATGCACTAAGGTATTATATAAGTGGCACCAAGGTAATATATAAGTGGCACTAAGGTATTATATAAGTGGCAATTTGGGGTTTTGCCAATTCGTGCCATTTCTTGGAAACTATTCCTCGCAAATGGTAAGGGTCTAATTGTACCTTTATTAGGCAAGGCTTTTGATAATACACCCCCATGCAAGGCTTTTGATAATACACCCCCATGCAAGGCTGAAAATTAAACTAAGGGAGTACAGAATACAGTGGAGCATTCTAGTGTGGATCAAGGACTTTCTTCATGACTACATGAAGTGTGTGGTGATTAATGGGACCATGACAAGCGGGGTACCACAGGACTGTGTGCTGAGACCGTTGTTGTTTGTTTTATAGCTGAGATGCCAGAAGCTATACACTCTAAATTTTTGGGAAAATTAAAAACCAAATGGCCTGTGAGGTGCTACAGGAAGAGTTCTGTCTGTTTCAGGAGTTATCAAAGGGATAGCTGATAAGATAAAACATCACCAAATGATAATGGATGCACCTGGGTTGTACCAACAGTAAGGAGACATACAACATATTACATGTCCCAACAAGAAGAAAAAACAGCATTAACAGAGACCAAATGAGAAGGTCCTGACCATAATCTGCTAAGAGCCATATGTCGCTCAAATGTGTTATCTACAGTATTACACTGTATTCCTCAACCTCTCCTTTGTCCCCTGGATAAGTCAGAGAGCCAATTAGGAAGATGTACCTGAGCATTTTCCCCCATTTTCTCTTGTGTTACTCAACAGATTATGGTCCCGAGTTCCTCAATGAACTGAAGTTCTCGGACCATTGTGAGAAGGTGAATCAAGCAACTAAGCTCATAAGTTTTGTAAGAAGAGCGTTCAGACACCTTGATAGTCCAACCCTCGTAATGTTCTTCAAGAAAGAGATGCTTCCCCGTCTGGAGCACTGTCCCGGAGTTATGCTAGAGAATGTCAATTGATTGAAAATATCCAAAGAAGGGCCACCAGACTGGTGACTGCACTACAGCACCTAAGTTAACCAGAGAGATTAAAACGCCAGCAGATGCCTAGCTTATACGACTACTATAGACAGGCAAGGGGTGAATTACTATAAGTTTATAAATACCTCAGACAACATTACTCAGCCAGGCGTTCATACCCGAAGCTGGCGGACGCCCACCCCACTAGGGGTTGCAGCTTAAATTTGAAGAAGCCACATGTTCAGAAAATTGTAGGGGGAAACTTTTTTGGAGTGAGAACTGTGAACTCTTGGAACAATCTGCCAGAGTGTGTTGTGGTGGCACCAAGTGTGAGCTGTTTCAAAACCAGACTTGATAAACACTGGAGCCAATACATGCCCAGTTCTTGTTAATACAGTAGTACATAACAGAGATGTGACCGATTGCCCAAGCAGATAAAGGCCAATTAGTGGTGAAGAGGGTAAATTAATGAAATAATAAATATAATAAAAATAATACAGTAATAACATATATTACAAGTGGTAATAATGGAACAACAAGAGTAATACACTCCCTGTACTGTATCAAGTACCCGATGTATAGTATTGTATTCCCAGACTTCTTCCACAATCAACACCCCAAATACTGTAATCTTTACCCACCCCTCTTCTTGACCCCTTCCTCCTCCTCATTCTTCCCATCTCCCTCATCCTTCACCTCTTCCTCCTCCTCATCCTTCACCTCTTCCTCCTCCTCATCCTTCACCCCTTCCTCCTCCTGCTCATTCTTCCCACCTACCTCATCCTTCACCCCTTCACCCCTTCCTCCTCCTCATTCTTCCCATCTCCCTCATCCTTCACCTCTTCCTCCTCCTCATCCTTCACCCCTTCCTCATCCTGCTCATTCTTCTTATCTCCCTCATCCTTCACCCCTTCCTCTTCCTTCTTATTCTTCCTATCTCCGTAGTCCTTCACCCATTTCTACTCCTCCTCCTCCTCATTCTTCCCATCTCCCTCATCCTTCACCTCTCCCTCATTCTTCCCAGCTCCTTCATCCTCCTCCTGATTCTTCCCATCTCCCTCATCCTTCACCCCTTCCTCCTCCTCCTCCTCATTCTTCCCATCTCCGTCATCCTTCACCTCTCCCTCATTCTTCCCAGCTCCTTCATCCTCCTCCTCATTCTTCCCATCTCCCTCATCCTTCACCCCTTCCTCCTCCTCCTCATTCTTCCCATCTCCCTCATCCTTCACCCCTTCCTCCTCCTCCTCCTCCCATTCTTCCCATCTCCCCTCCCATCCTTCCACCCCTCCTCCTCCTCCTCATTCTTCCCATCTCCACTCATCCTTCACCCCTTCCTCCTCCTCCTCCTCATTCTTCCCATCTCCGTCATCCTTCACCTCTCCCTCATTCTTCCCAGCTCCTTCATCCTCCTCCTGATTCTTCCCATCTCCCTCATCCTTCACCCCTTCCTCCTCCTCCTCCTCATTCTTCCCATCTCCGTCATCCTTCACCTCTCCCTCATTCTTCCCAGCTCCTTCATCCTCCTCCTGATTCTTCCCATCTCCCTCATCCTTCACCCCTTCCTCCTCCTCCTCCTCATTCTTCCCATCTCCATCATCCTTCACCTCTCCCTCATTCTTCCCAGCTCCTTCATCCTCCTCCTGATTCTTCACATCTCCCTCATCCTTCAACCCTTCCTCCTCCTCCTCCAGAGTCGCTCCTCTCTCAGTAGTCACTAAACTCTAATGAGTGCTGGACGTTGAAGTAAGGCTTAGCCCAGTTAAGCCCCGTCCTTCCTCTCAGCAGTTATCACACGACACTAAAAAAGCATAGACGTGGACCCCCAAGCTTCCCAGATAAGCTTGCCGTCTATTCTTCTAGCACCCACAGCTTCAGTGATATTAACGTGTTCTCCTTGTTGAAGTGTAGATACTTTATTTTATTATAAATAAATGGAGAAAAGACCTTTTGGGTTTTGACAACTTAACCCATAAGCTAGACAGCTCCAACGCTGTTAAATAACAGTTCCCCAAACTAGTTATATATACACCAGTGTCATGAAAATTACCATTCTTTATGTGGTGAAAAACGTGTCAATATGTTTGTTTAGTGTATCCATGTACGTATGTAACTGATAAATTCTTCACAACAAGAGTATTAACTTTAAGAAGCACAGCTGTTTCATTACACAGGTGTTAAAACTCCACAGTGACTACCTTAACTGGAGAAGCACTAATCTCCTTACCAACACTTTCTGGAAAAATTCAATTGTTGGAACCAAAAAATTTCCTAAATTTGATATTTAAAAAAACAAAATTAATAGATAATATAAACATTTAGTAACTGTGAGAAAGCTTACCTGTTGCATCAGCAGGAGATGAAGGCTTAGCAGTCTCACCAAGGAAGGAGGTGAGCTGCGAGAGGGACGCAAGACCCACCCGTGGTAGTTTGGACTCCACTGCCAGTGACAAAGGCGGCAGTGCTTGAACCACAGATACGGCCGTTCCTAGCACCTCCGAGCACAGGCTGCCACCGCCTGGTAACACAATTTGAAATACAGACATTTTAAAAGTTATTAATACAAGTGGATGACAGAGACAAGTGGACTATGGGATCAACAAACACCTGGCAGAGCCTGACATGTTCAAGGCTCCATAAGGCAGGGTCACTGTCCTTGTGTAAACACCTACTTGCCTTGCTGTACCAGGATACATGAAGCAATCACTGACCTGACCTGACCCACCAATCACTGCGAAGGCCAACAGATACACCAATATGAACCCAGAACTTAGGTCACATTTTTACATGATGCTACTAGGCTGAGAAGCCCCCCCCCTTGCAGTTCATTGCCTCATGCATAATGCCGATTAATACTGTATTGACATATCAAAAATAAATCCACATAAAACTGTTAAGGATACCCAATAATGGCTCACTTTAATGCTGTAAAGATATAACTGCTTGTGAAACATTAACTTTCAAGGTGTGAGTAGAAAAAAGTTTGAAATTAAGAAGATTTACCATCAAAGTCACAAACACATTCACCACTACTACAGTACTTCTCTTTTCACTAATTATTATGTATATTAAGACAAATGACACTAAAGCTATGAAACAACAGATATTATGACCATTTTATAAAGAATAGAACCAAGGGTAAATACCACATCTTCACCCTATTTACCTCAACATTCAATAAGATCAACCCTGCCTGCACTCTCCTGCGCGCGCACAGTGTTGGCATTAAATTAAGTCATCACCAGCAGACATACACAACTCTTACACCACAATGTAAACAAACGGGGGAATCTTGTTCCGCCCCCGTACTGTACTGTACTGTGCAGCACAGAATAGTACAGTAGTCAGAATACAGTACAGTATATTACAGTACAGTTAGAATTCAGTAGAGTACAGTAGAGTACATTACAGTACAGTTGGAGTAAAGTACAGTATGTGTGCAGTACAGTTAGAGTAGAGAACAATACATTACAGTAGTTCAAATACAGTACAGTACATTACAGTACAGTGCTGTTAGAGTACAGTACCTTAGAATACAGTACAGTAGTTAGAATACAGTACAGCACATAACAGTACAGTTAAGAGTAAGGTACAGCTAGAATACAGTACAGTTCGAATACAGTACAGTACATTACAGTACAGTTAGAATAGACTACAGTACAGTTAGAATACAGTGCAGTTAGAGTACGGTACAACTAGAATACAGTACAGTTCGAATACAGTACAGTACATTACAGTACAGTTAGAATAGACTACAGTACAGTTAGAATACAGTGCAGTTAGAGTATGGTACAACTAGAATACAGTACAGTTCGAACACAGTACAGTATATTACAGTACAGTTAGAATAGAGTACAGTACAGTACATTACAGTACAGTTAGAATAGAGTACAGTACAGTTAGAGTACGGTACAGCTAGAATACATTACAGTAGTTCGAATACAGTAAAGTACATTACAGTAGAGTACTGTACTATTACAGTTACAGTACAGTACCTTAGAATACAGTACAGTAGTTAGAATACAGTACAGCTAGAATACAGTACAATACAGTACAGGTAGATTACAGTACAGTACAGTTAGAATACATTACAGTTAGAATACAATAAAGTACATTTAGAATGCATTACAGAACATTAAAGCACAGCTAGAATGCAGTACAGTACAGCTAGAATACAGGACAGTACAGTTAGAATACAGTACAGTACATTTAGAATGCAGTAAAGTACATTACAGTACAGTACTGTTAGAGTACAGTACCTTAGAATACAGTACAGTAGAAAGAGTACAGCACAGACCATTACAGTACAGTTAGAAATACAGTACAGCTAGAGTACAGTGCAGTTAGAATACAGTGCAGCTAAAGTACAGTTCAGTTACAATACAGTACAATTGGTGCACAGTACATTACAGTACAGTTAGAATAGAGTATAGTACAGTTAGAATACAGTACAGCAAGAGTACAGTTCAGTTACAATACAGTGCAATTGGTGCACAGTAAAGTACATTACAGTACAGTTAGAATGCAGTACAGCACAGAGTACACTACATTTAAAATACAATACAGTACAGTAGTTAGAATACAGTACAGTTAGAATACAGCACAACAAGAATACAGTACAGTACAGCTAGAATACAGAACAGTACGAGTACAGTACAGCTAGAATACAGTACAGTACAGTTAGAATACAGTAAAGTACATTTAGAATGCAGTACAGTTCATTACAGTACAGCTAGAATACAGTACATTACAGGTAGAATACAGTACAGCAGTTAGAATACAATACAGTAAAGTTAGAATACAGTACAGTTAGAGTACAGTAGTTAGAATAAAGTACAGTTAGAGTACAGTACAGTTAGAATACAGTACAGCACAGCTTTAATACAGTACAGTACAGTTAGAATACAGTACAGTACAGCTAGAATGCAGTACAGTACATTACAGTACAGTACTGTTAGAGTACAGTACCTTAGAATACAGTACAGTAGAAAGAGTACAGCACAGACCATTACAGTACAGTTAGAATACAGTACAGTACATTACAGTACAGCTAGAATACAGTACAGTACAGTTAGAATACAGTACAGTTAGAATACAGTACATTACAGTACAGGTAGAATACAGTACAGTTAGAATACAGTACATTACAGTACAGCTAGAATGCAGAACAGTACAGTTAGAATACAGTACAATACAGCTAGAATGCAGTACAGTACAGTACAGTTAGAATACAGTTAGAATACAATACAGTACATTATAGTACAGCCAGAATGCAGTACACTAAAGCTAGAATACAGTACAGTTAGAATACAGTACAGTGCAGTTAGAATACAGTACAGTAGTTAGAATACACTATAGTACATATAGAATGCAGTACAGTACATTACAGTACAGCTAGAATGCAGTACAGTACAGTTAGAATACAGTACAGTACAGTTAGAATACAGTACAGTTGTAGTGATGGGTTGTCAGACCACAGCTTACATCTCAGAAACAGTCTATATCTGACCCGACATTAGGGGGGTCAAATGTAAGGGGACCCCGGCACAGTCAGCACAAGAGGCCACCTGTCTCCATTATATACAACAACTTTAGTCTCAAAAAAAGTCCAGACCTAACCCTACATTAGCGTGAGGTCCCTCATAACACCATCTGTGAGGGAATTACTACACCACGTGAGGCCCCTCATAACACCATCTGTGAGGGAATTACTACACCACGTGAGGCCCCTCATAACACCATCTGCGAGGGAATTACTACACCACGTGAGGCCCCTCATAACACCATCTGCGAGGGAATTACAACACCACGCCAGGCCCCTCATAACACCATCTGTGAGGGAATTACTACACCACGTGAGGCCCCTCATAACACCATCTGTGAGGGAATTACTACACCACGTGAGGCCCCTCATAACACCATCTGCGAGGGAATTACAACACCACGCCAGGCCCCTCATAACACCATCTGCGAGGGAATTACTACACCACGCCAGGTCCCACATAACACCATCTGAGGGAACTAATACACCACGTGAGTTCCTCCTAACACCATCTAGGAGGGAGTTACTACACTACGAGTTTGCTCTTCAACACCTACATTAATCTGTATGTTCACTGTATGTTCCTTTACCTTTCTCTAATGAAGGCTTTTGTTAAACCACTAATGTATGTAATAAGTCATTTATGTCCAATGTATATTTTCAGCCTTCGGGCTGCAGAATTTTTTTCAATAAACCGTTAATTATTATTATTATTATTATGTAAGGAGACCCTTAGCCGCCCCACCGATCAGCTCAACCTGACGGCTCGTCCCCCAATATATAGGACGTCGTAGCCTTCCCTCACGAGAGAGAGTCGACGGAGCAAAGTCGAGACAGTCAGAGAGAGCCGGAGGCAAGCCCTCATCTGGTCGGGAGCATAACCTAACCTAACCTAACCTAACCTAACCTAACGGGAGCGAGACTTCCCTCCCGACACCCCGGTGTCCCAGCTAAGCAGTCTCCCATAGAGACAACCCAGAATCACCTGCTAGGCCACCCCCAGGTCACGCGAGTTTTTGTCAAAGCTATTCATGGGATGAGTTACTTAGGTGGGAAGTGTATTCATTACATGCTCGTGTCCAAGAATCAGTGTCTAGTAACGTAATATGATGTCCTAGTAACTACGATAGAAGGTGTTATTTATGTGTCCATGTCATTGTCGTAATTAATAAAGAGTTGTAACGAAGCGATGTTTGAGAATTCGTCCTTAAGAACGTAATAGATGTGTGTTGACATATAAGACAGAGTCAATAACTAACACGGCCACGCTACCAAACTCTTCCTCTCTTTACATCATCCTACTAAAAATTCTCTCCATACTTCCTACACTTTAAAACCCTTCATTATACAGTACAGTTAGAATACAGAACAGTACAGTTAGAATACACTACAGTACATTACAGTACAGTTAGAATACAGTACAGTACAGCTAGAATACAGTAAAATAAAGTTAAAATACAGTACAGTTAGAGTACAGTACAGTACAGCTATAATACAGTACAATACATTACAGTACAGCTAGAATATAGTACATTAGAGCTAGAATACAGTACAGCACAGTACAGTTAGAATACAGTACAGTTAAGGTACAGTACAGCTAAAATATAGTACAGTACATTACAGTACAGCTAGAATACAGTACAGTACAGTTAGAATACAGTACAGTATAATTAGCATACAGTAGTTAGAGTACAGTACTGTGCAGCTAGAATACAGTACAGTACAGTTAGAATACAGTACAATACAGTACAGTACAGTTAGAATACAGTACAATACAGTACAGTACAGCTAGAATACAGTACAGTTAGAATACAGTACACAACAGTTAGAATACAGTACAGTACAGTTAGAATACAGAACAGTACAGTTGGAATACAGTACAGTACAGTTAGAATACAGTACAGTATCAATAGAATACAGTACAGTTAGAGTACAGCACTGTGCAGCTAGAATACAGTAAAGTACAGTTAGAATAC